CCATCATTTGGACGGACATCCTTTGTGAATGGCCCCTTATTGGCCCATGCAGTGTAAGCTCAGGAATGGAAATTATTGCGGGAGTGCAGGGGTGTGGGCAGCACACTCGGGATCTGACTTGATCAATCCATGTGTTAACTACTAGACGAGCTACCTAGTTAACCAAACTCATTTTATTTATACTAGACGCTTGATAGCTCTTTGAGTTCTGTCGAAGCTAAAATAAACGGCGCAAAGAAATGTTTAAAATTAATGCTACATGAATGGAAAAGATGCAGCAGCTTTCAATTTTTAAAACAAACCAAGGATGTCCTGCATAACGAAGGGATCAAAAATAGTATATCGTATTTCACTCCTAACTTGATTAATTGTTGGCAGATCATTTTTCGAGTTCGCGCATATTTTGGATGCGCAGTAGAACCGTGACACTGACCCTTTAAGGACCATATATTATATTGCCAATTGTGTTATTATATCCTCAACAAATCTTTGTCATTTTTTATTAGTCTGCTCAGGTGACCTGTGGTTCTGCAGGTATCCCTGGAATTCCAGGAAATCCCGGAAGAGATGGTATACCCGGATCACGTGGGAGGGGAGCCTGGAGAGAGAGAGGAAATGATTACGCAGATCTGGTGAAGTCAAATTGGAAACAATGTGCTTGGAAGAGAAGGGATAGCAAAGATACTGGCTTGATACAGGTTAACAAAAATTAAGAATTTTGAAGTCGAGTATTTGAAAAAAGATCTTTTGTATCAGTCAAATCCAAGCATGCCGCCCCTCCCCCTTCCCCCCGCCCCCTCTGAGGCAAACCCCAAGAAATCTATTTTTTAAATTCTAGCACTTTAGTGTCCTGTTGGACATCTTCCTTTAGTTTCTAGTGATAATTAGTGAGAAGATATTCTTACAACCTACTTCGTTTAAAACGACGAATTTTTACACTGCAACTAAACCCAAAGGTAGGCCAAATCTTAAGACAATCATAGTCTCGACCTAATCTATTCCTTACCTTAAGCCTAATCTATCCTAATCTTTTGAAGCCTAATTTAATCCCAACTCTGATCTCAAGCCTAATCTAATTCTTACCGTGAGTCTAATCTAATCCTCACATTTTCTTAATCTAATCCTTTAACCCTTTGAAGCCTGATTTAATCCTTACCCTAAACCTAATCGTAACCTTATCCTAATTACCATTTGTCTGTTCTGTTCATATAGAACTGTATTTTCAACAAGAAATACGACAACACCTCACTCCGTGTGTTCTACAAAGGAAACGTACGTTCTTATGGCAGTAATGTTTGCAATCGATGGTATTTTACATTTGATGGCGCAGAATGTACAAAACCAGTGACTATTGAAGGAGTTGTTTACGTTGGATCAACCCGCGAAAACCCCCATCGTCACCGCCATATTGAAGGCTACTGTAACCAGGTTCCTGACCTCCAAAGGTCACATACATGTGGGGTTCTGGATAGGCAAATGTGAGAGTACTAGTCTCCGAGATGGTGATACTTTAATTCGATGTCCCGGATTGTAATTGAAGAAGTACCACCTCCTCAAGCTTAATATCATTCAATAAAATAGAGTATTATTTATATCATACTATGTATTAATCAAATTATACAAGTATATAACTTTTACAAAAGAGACTTGGAGAAAAAACTGATAATGAAATCATTATCAGTTATGTTTCTGTATTTGCCAGTATTGTGTTCGATTTTTATAATGTACTACTCAAATGTAGGCCTATTAAACAAAAATTGCCTTTGCTAAAGATTAAATAAAATACTTTCTTCGGCATTAAATTATAGTCTTCATGGGATAATAAATAGCGAGTTTTAATTGATTCACTGGAGACTTGAATTAAAGAGTAATGATTACAGGAGGTCATGCCTGTCTAGCGTCCAAACCACGCATTCATGTCTTTCCAAACGACATCCAATCAGCTGAGTGAATGAGGCTCGTTATTACAAAAGACCTTCGGTTTCCTTCCCGTTTAAACCTGACCAATGCATCTTTACATCTTTTAAATACAAGTTTGGATAAGTTATATTCTTAGAAAACACAGAACAAAAGCGACTAGGAAAACACAGAACAAAAGCAACCAGGCATTAGTCAGAGTTGACAAATATACGAGTTATTTGCCCATTTATTGAACGTGTTCTCTTCTATACTTTCATAAACCGAAACAATGGTAAAAAGGCATGTGAGGCATTGTAGGTTGTGAACTCGGTATAATCAAGCGTTATTCAAAGTTGTCTATTTAAAAATTTTCAGCAATTATAATGGCGGCATGCTGTCCCGATGGTTAAGATTAGCCTGATAAGTATACTCAGTGCGTGCTAAATTAAGCTACACTTTTATCTTTAAGCATGGTAAACCTACGAAAACATTCGAGTACCTTCAATAAAGTCAATAAACCTGACACCAAGCTTATCAACTATATACGAAGTTCAAAATTCTTGTTTTGCCATAAAAACGAAAACCCACTTTCTCAAACAATATTTTATGTGGTAACATAGATATGGTCTCTATAAAAAGGTCTTTTTTTCCTCTAATAATCGGTGTTTTCTTTTGTAATAGCTGGCCATGCAGAAATACTTCTCGACTAAAAATTTAAAATCCCAGCTCTCCATTACGCCAACAACAGTTCATGATTAACTTTGAGACATTGGTTTTAAAACTAAGGTTTATGAATCAATATTTTGCTAACAGGGGAAGTCAACAAGTCTCCTCAAACATTCTATTCAGCAAGTATGAAAAACAGACTGAAAGAAATACCAAATTATCTTGAACAAGAAAACAGTAGAGAAAATATACAAACCGAATGTGATCCGAGTTGGAATTTGCAAAATTGGGTGGTTTAGTCTGAATTAAAGTTCACAGAAAACAGATTAATTCCAGAAGTTGTCAGTAATGACCACAATGTTTTGCGAAAAACGTTAAAGCTAATGTTGCGATGAACGTTGGTTTAGCAAATAGTTTTTGGCTAAATGGGTAAATTATACGAGTCAAACATTCATTCTACAGTATATTAAGCCGTGGGCCGTTGGCCAAAATTATTTTGCTTCTTGGCAACCCCCTGGGGAATAGATTTTCTGTGGTTCAATGCATATTACTATACAGGGTGTCTCAAAAAAACCCAAAATCATTGAAATAACGTATTGTTCGAATTTCAATGCCGTAACACAAAGGATTTTGACAGGGTGATTAATTTGTTTTAAAAAATTAAAATATATTTGTAAAGTGAACGTTTGTTTGCTCATGGGAATTTAAAAATGCTTCGTAAATTCGTGGGTTTAGTACTTTATGCCTGACATAACAAGTTTACGCTGAGTCTTACCATTCATTATAGCAGTTATGTCAATCTTTTATGCACTCGTGGGATTAACTTAGTGCTAGGGCATTGAATATCGAACAATACGTCAATTTCAATGATTTTGGGTTTTTTTGAGACACCCTGTAGATGCTCGATTACCACAAAAAGTTTCCAAGCAAAAAACTTGACGAACACCGAAAAAATGGGTAATCAATCATTATCCTCTAATAAATTATATTACAGCAAGAAAATGTGAAATTTTGTATTCAATCACAACAAAAATGACTTCATCAGAAAGCTTACAAAAATCCGCATATAGGGCTTTTAAACAGTTTTTTGATCCTTCAAATAGTGGTTATTGCTGTTTTAAATGTGAAAATTGGACTGAAATGTCGCAATAAGGACTGGGTACTAGGTCAAAAACGCGTTTTTGACAGCGCATAACTCGAAAACAAAAAACTGTTTAAATGTCTTATACGTAGATTTTTGTAAGCTTTCTGATGATGCATGTCATTATTGCTGTAATTGAATGTAAAATTTCACATTTTCTTGTTGTAATATAATTTAATTAATAGAGGATAATCACTGATCGCTCATTTTCTCGCTGTTTGGCAAGTTGTTTGCTTGGGAACTTTTTGTGGTAATTGAGCGTCTATAGTATACTATGAATTGAACCACAGAAAATCTATTCCCCAAGGGGTTGCCACGAAATTGCTTTTCTAAGCACTTTGTCGCACAACTGCCTATATGGCAAGCCGCAAGAGCTATTGATAAGTCATGAGAAATGTCAATCTAAAGCCTTTGAAACCTGATTTAATCCTAAACCTAATCTTGAGCTTATACCCTTTGTCTGTTCATATAGAACTGTATTTTTAACAAGAAACACGACACCTCACTCCGTCTGTTTTACGCAGGAACTTTACGTTGAGTAGGCTGCGTAGCAGGCGGTATTCGCGGGCACGAGAAAACGGGAAGCTATATGTATTTAATTCTAGCTTCCCGTTTTCTCGTTCCCGCGAATACCGCTTGCTACGCAGGCCATACGTTGGGTGGTTGCAATCGATGGTATTTTACATTTGATGCTGCAGAATGTATATAAAACCAGGACTATTGAAGGTATTATTTACGTTTTATCGACCCAAGCCAACCCCTAACGTCACCGCCCTATTGAAGGCTATTGTATCCAGGTTCCTAAGGCCCGGTTTAGACGCCGTGCTTTTCATGAGCCGAACTTAATACAATGAATTAAGCACATGAGAAGCACGGCGTCTAAATCAATTAAGCACTGC